CACCCTTTTCCATTTCCCAAGTCTTCGCTTCGCGACCTGGGGGCTGGGGAGGAAGCTGATTTATTTCTTTCTTTTTCGGTTAAAAATGACTCATAACCCCCAATTTTGTCATTTCATTCAATCCTTCCTTTTGGCGTTCCAAGTTAGTCAAATGATTTTAGTAAAAAAACAAAAGTTTCATAGTAATCGTCAAAGCACCTTTCTTTTACTCGACTCTCGAGGAAAGCAAGAGACAATGAGACATGGAATGAAATTTATTTAAGTGCTCTCGAGGCCGTATCCTCTCTGCCTCTCTGTACCCGTCAATTTGCAAAATGAGTTTTAAGCAATTTCAAACTCCACTAACTTTTTCTGTTTTCTTTTTGCAAAAGAAGCCCCGATCTATGCTACCATCATTTATGTTTAGGGTTATAGTTCGGTCCCACCCAGTCCCGACCTAGTCTGCACCCTGGTCTTTTCATATTAGCCTGTACTCGTATTAGATCATTTTATATATTACTGTATTTTTTTTTTTTTTTTGTAAATGTCTCTATTCAGAGATTATAATTACAATTTAAAATATTTGAACAACCTTCTTTTTCAGGGATGAAAAAGCGTTTGGATTTTGAAAAGATAGTGGGTCCAGGTCCGATTCAGAAATTTCTGGGCCTGCACACAAAACCTAGGTCTCTATGCTGCTCTTCAATACTAAAATGATTATGAATCCTTTGCACACCTTTAACAATTTTGAATAGATAATTTATTTATTCTCTTTTTTTCTTTAAAAATAAATAAAAAAAGGAAATTGTAAATTATAAATCATATTTCAACATAATAATTTTGATATATCCATTTGTTTTAGAAGGCCCTTTAGGGTAAATTCATTTATCAACAAACTCGGTTTACATCCATCTCTTATACAATAATAGTGGGGAGGAAGTTAAGAACTTGAGATCAATTTTTAACTCTTGTACAAATAATAACAAATTTGGCCAATTAATGTGCAGCCATGTTAACTCTTTTAGGAATATAATAAACTGAGTAACTTGAAAAGCAATATGCAGTTGTTTGCAGTCAGCGACTAAAATACCAATAGACCATGGTGGATCCAACGAATCCACCAACAAACATCTGGTTAAAGTGAAAGCATCGTTCTCAACCAGAATGCGAGAAATACCCACCTCTAAAACCAATTTCAAACATAATAACCAAATAACCAAATATTTTGTGAACATAATAACCAAATATTCACAATCCTCTGATTATGCCAAATTAACCAGTTTTATACAAACAAGTGTCAAAACCCTAAAACATTAGAGCGTCCCCGAAATTTACCTAAAAAAATATTATCATTCTCGATGGGTCTATTTTATATTCAACTTAGAAACGGGTGAACCGTTTATTCACCAATACCAGTCGTCCGTTGTGCTAATATCGTTTTATTTGGGCTTCATGGGCTACGCAACTGGGGATAGCCCATCTTACATACCTTTTTCCTCAAACCATGGTGACAGCAGGGTTTCAATGCAGAGCTATAATTACTTGTGGGTAGGGATGTCGGAATAATTCGTGCTAGTCCATCTATGAGATAAATGGAAGTTTTCCCTTTAATTTTTAAACACTTTATTTATCTTGGGTTTATTTGTTGAAGATGTTCCTAATAAGAAAGATGAAAATAGATATGTAAATAAGTAAGGCCCCATTTGGTTTGCAGGAATAGGGGTTTGGAATCGGAATTGGAATGGATTATTCTGATTCCAAAAATTTGGTTGGGCGGAATCAGAATCTCATTCCCATTCCTGCTGGAATGGCATTCTCCCATTTGAGGAAAAGGGTATTGCCTATCCCTTCCTTGGGAATGAAATCCCATTCCTGTTGATTTTAATTTCCATTTCCATTCCTATCTGAACCAAACAAATTATGGGAATGGACCATTCCGATTTCAATTCTAATTCCGGTTTTGACTGTAAACCAAACGGACCCTAATACCTTGCTAATGAAGTTTTTGGTCTTTACTTATACACGAACATCCTTAGTTGCTTCTTTAGAGACGTCCTTAGTTACTTATATATCTTCTCATCATCGGTTGGCTTCTTTGCCACCTCCAAAGATTTCTTTTTACTTGTCAGTCATACGGGGATCTTCTCAACAACATGGTTGCAAATTGGACTGTCTCAAACATTGTCATTCACTGTTTTCAAAACCGGACTGGACCGGAAAAACTGGAAACCGGTCACCTGACAGGTTCCGTTTTCCTCGAAAACTGTTTTTCCCTTAAAATCATTGATTTTGGTCAGCAAACCACTGAACCAGCCAGTTAACTGTTCGAACGGTTTTGACCGTTTTTTAATTTTTTAAATTTGTTTATTTCTTTTTCAGAACGGACTGGCCATTCGGGTCGAATGGTTGAACCGTTCGAACCCTGACTGGTTCGTTTTTAAAAACCATAATGTCGTTACCTCATTTGAAAATTCCAAATATCAGCAATGGGCTGATATGTTGTGCTAGTGAAGATATCAACTCACTCTAGCAAACGGATTGTTTTTTTTTACCGAAGATGCCTAATCTCTACCCACATTCGTTTGGGAAATCAAAATGTCTCCTGTATATCTGAAACAGGAGACATTTCAGACATTTTGAAATACGAAAATTCTCCTTCAGAAGTGCTCTTGGTCTCAAATTCCCCAGTTTCT